ATTACCTTATAGATTATGGTGATTCTTTCATTTACTCGATAATCGAGTCAGACAAAATCATGAATAAGACACCGAAGAAAAAATAAAAAGAACTACTCATTTGAAATATTGGTAATATCTCAATATATTTAATTTGAATACATATTACAAATATGAAAACAAATATGTGGCAAGGTCAATCAATCGAATTACTATTCACTAATGCGCATATGCTGGTACATTTAGTAAAGCAATGTTGATCATCAGCTTTTATTCTATATCAGTTTCAAATATTAGGTTTATTTTGACAAACTATATGTTAACTATTCAAATATTCTGTTTTCTGCTAGAAATCATCTTAATAATTCACTTACTGTAGTTTGATTATTTAACGAAAAATCTTGGCCAAAACTTTGTTAGTATCCGAAGAATGATTGAAATGATGTTGCATAAATGACGCGGTTTGCTTTACATATATATATATGTGTAGGTTTGTGCATTTTGTGACTCATTGATAAGTTTTGGAAGAATCCAACATTTGAGTTTTACTACCGACATCGTTTTTTTTTTATTGAAGCTGTGGGTGTATGTGTATGTAGCTACCACGATATCAGGCATTTCAATGTTGCTGAAAATGTTATCAAGTGACACTAGAAGATATTAGTATAGAAGATACAAAATAATAAAATTTTAAATCAACACAGGTACTTGTATACTTCATTACTTTTCGTGGAGTTTTATATTTACCTGGCAACATCTGATATATGAAGAAGAAAGGAATTATAGTTATCTTCAAGAACAGAATCAACATGTCTGATAAGTCTTTCGTTTGATGGTGTTGTTGTTATTATTCTAGTTGATTTCCACGTATATATATATATACGTTCGTATAGGCGCTTCATTTCATTGCTGTTTCTTAAGTTTCTGGCATTAATTATGTGGTTACTTGTTATTTATGCGTAATGCTTTCGTTGTACTTGCTGTTTGTTGTTGTCGTGTTAGTATTTATGTTGGTGATAGAAATTTATAGCAAACACACTGAACATCTTGTCTGTTAGTGTTCAATGTTGCTATATTCGCAGTTCTCTTTGATTTCATAATCAAACAAAAATATCTTTAAAGTCTTATTGTATTATTGACGATAGAGTTTCCGAAACAAGTTGATGTTGTACTTTATGTAATGAATAGACATAATCTCGAATAAGTATCAAGAAATGAGTTTTTGTTAGTTCGTCTATTCTAATTATAAATCAAGAAAAATGCAAGAAGCTATAATAAAACACTAAGAATAGATTCTTTTTGCATTATTTTCTATGTAACGATGCTGAATTTAAACAAGAAAACAGGGTGTTGGGGGTGGATGTGGAGGAAGAGAAGATTAATACAGACACTCACACCCACACCCATTCACATTGACACTCTTCAATCCAGAGAACGGATTTGACTCGTATGCTTGATTCAAATTCGAGCAGACATGTTTCAAAGAACTATGGTCATAGCGAAATGTTTGTTTTCTATAATGAGTTTGCTCTCAATCATTCCAACATCATCATCTACTCGTGACAAGAAACGGAATAAACCTCATGTATCAGAAGATGATTCTGTACTTCAAGTGAATATAACAATAAGTTATGTAGCATTCTACGTGACATTAACTAAATACAAAACAGTGACACAAAACACATAGAGTCATACATCTACTTTAAAAGCTATTTTTTTCTTGTAGTGATTATATCCCGTTGAAATCAAATCAAAGATTCTCTTTTAGATCGTATGTATTTTACAAAATATTTTTTCAATAACAATCTTATTACTATAAAATATAATTTTGACCATTACATATAGTGTTAATGGGATTGACATTTCTGTATGAATCTCAATGTTTTTCTTAGCGAACTCATTGACTTAAACATATACAAGGTTCTATCCCCAAAACTAAATTATTTCTTAATTTCCTGATTGGTAAATTATCTAAGTAAATCTTGTTAGCAAACTGCAAAACACCTGCTGTATTGGAATTGTGCCTTTTTTTTTTGTGAAAAAACTAAAGAGCAGTTGATTAAATTTCATAGTCAAATAATGGTACAGAATATAGTTTTATTATATTGTACCAGATCGAACTTTAGCTCTGAACCATTCACATCTTATAACGTTGGTTCTAGGTGTTGTTTTAATTTCAATTCGAATTTATCTTGACCAGAATAGTTTGTTGTTCTAATGATCCATTGACCGTCGAATTGTTGTTCTTGTTCGTTCCATTTCAAATCAATTTTAACTTGATGTCCGAGATTTTCACGAGGATCGCCAGTTCCACGTTTATAGTGTTTCGTTAAAGTCATACGATTATCATCGGTTGAATAGCTTCCTGTAATATCAAATGAGCCGACATCGTCAGAACCATTACCCCGAATAATTCTTTCATTGAATTCAAATTGAGCAAGAAAGGGTCCATGCCATTTAAAATATTGATAATAACACATATTATAACAACCCGATTGAAAGACATTTCTTGTTGATGTTTGAGAATGTAGAATCGAAGGAAGTTTAGTAGAAGAAATAAAAGACAGTTCCGTATGAGAGGTCGAAGAAAATTTACTGTTAGGAATGGGTGGAAGTTTAGCGCGTGAGACACGACCAGTTTTAGAACATGAAATCGGAGAAAGTTTATGGCGTGATATGGGACGAAGTTTTAGGCGTGACACAGAAACGATCTTCTGGTCAACAGTTGGGGATTCCGTTGTACGCGGAGATGGATTCGGCGTGGTAACAGTCACTTTGGATTTGCATAGTCCTAACTCACAATAGTCACAAGCCAAGATCAAGTGACAACAATCGACACATCCATGGTGACAACAATCGACGACACCACGGCCACATGAACCAGCAATATGACGACAAAAGTCACAAGTATCTCGAGGGTTTGTGCAGAAAAAATAACAAACAATTATAATGATTGGGAGTACTAAAACACCTCCTATCACAGAACAAACGATAATAATTGTACGACGTTGACACTGTTCTCCTATGCAGTTTCCTGTACCATAATCACTGAGATGAGAGTTCCAGCTACTGCTGCCACCTTTTAAATAAAAAAACTGACTTCAACATTTCGGATATTGATAGCATTTGTTGAATAATTTTATCATGCGACATAAGATATATGTAAGTAAACGATTACTTTTCTCTGTTTGTTTTCATACTATATTAATACAAATTCATACGAATATCGTATTTTATAGAATGAGTTAAGAAAAGTTCTTAGAATGTTCTCAACATTAAATATAAATAGTTTTAATCGATAAGAAAGTAGGCATTATAGCTCAGCCAGCTACAGGTCAGGATATTCGGTATATGTTGATTATTGTACGATTTTAATCTTCTATTATATCTGTGTAGCTGGAAATCTTCAATGGATTTGGTGGAGTGAGAAGCAGAATAATAGTCTTTTCATCATGGCACATAAGCTGAGCATGAGACAGACAAATCGTACATATTCAGATCAAGTAACCTGGGTCGATTGGAATAGAAAAATCTGGGAGCCATTTCTGTTACGTTGCAGATTTTACTTGGAAGTAAAACTATGCGTCTGTTGATCCTTGTCTAAGAGTTCCTCGTATTTTCTGATGGAAATTCGTAGCTACAAAATCTACAATCCATAATCTGCTATATACAGTAAAACTAATCTCCACAGAAAAACAATAGTACATACTCATACATTTAGCAACTGTGTCATCGTAATAAAAGAAATTTCGAATGCTTCATATGCTTCTACATTTACGGTTTACTTTTCGACGACCCTCATAATAAATTGAGATTCAATCTTCTAGAAATCTGGTCAGTCTGTATACCAAACGTATCTATTATGTAAACAACGATGCTTGACTTCCTAGAAATTACCATCTATAGAACTTTAGCCGCGAATTAAAGTGTCGAAATTCTGATCAGAAAACGCAGCGTCATGAGCATCAAGTCTCGGCATATTTAACTTATGATATGTCGAATTTACAAATAGTCCTGATGGTAGCTTCTGTGAAGGTTACTTGCTTACATACATATGTAATTACGTTTGATTAAATATGAAGAAATATGCGGGCTAAAAAGTCACACATCTTTTGATTATGCTTAGGCTTACCAGAGCCACTCCAACCATTAAAACCGCCTCCACCACTACCACCTCCTCCTCCACCTCCACCTCCACCACCTGCACCTTGCGCATGCGTAAATCGTACCACGAAAAGCATTGCTAGCAAATTGAACAAATAAAAGAAGTGTCTATAAGGATCTGTGACCATCATGCTGCATAATCAACAGGCAAGATAAAATGAAACTAATAAACGAACGAATTCGTTGTGTGACTAGGATAAAAAAGAAAGACGACCTTCGTCAGTAGTTTGAGAAAGAAAAAAGTTTTTTTTGTTTGTCTTATGCTGCACGTTGCCGGAACTGATCGAAGTTGACTTGCAGAAAAGAAAAAGAAAAATAATGTGATTTTCAATGCGTCAATATAAAATCAATCGAGAGAATGCTGCGCAATACACCGTCGGGGGAAGTCTCTGCTTTCTAAACGAACTTTGGCACATCGTAATGAAACAATACTCTGGTCAACGGAGTCGAAAAACTTAAGAATGTCAGCTGCTATTTTGGTTTAGGTTTATATGGGCTCAATGTGCAGCTACACTCAAGTCTATTTCAGCAGTTCTAAGAGGCATTAGATAGGATGAGGGTGTGGGCGTGGGCGTGTGAGCTCTACACACCCACATCCGCTAATTTGATTCGCTTCAATATTAAGCCTACCGATAATGAAATATTGAAAAAATGTGACTTATGATTCGAAAAATTGATTTATTTTCTTAATATTAAGTAAATATAAATAAAACGGTGTTGCTGATAAGAAGGAGAAAATCAATGATTTTATCAGTTTAACAGTTTTCAGTTTTTCCAAAACATTCAATTCACTCTCATAAAAATATGTAAATATGTTAAATTGAAATAAACATAAA